GATATTTTCAGGCAAAAAAAATCTAGGTTTAAAAGCGTTGAAGCCACATCGCAAACATAAGTCATCGCCAAAGTCGACAGATTCAAGTTTCTGAGTAGGGATGACATATAGGACTTAAAAAAAATATAATGAATAACCCACACTATTTTCAAAGGTTATATTTTTGCTTAAAACTGTACCGTTCCTTTGCATTGTTTTTATACTATATGATACTATAAGTAATATTACAGAAACACCGTATTGTTATTCCAAATTTGAAATACGAATCTGTCAACCAAACCCGACAGATCCCTATTTTTTCATCAGAAAGCATACCTGCCAACTTTTAATCCTTTCCATTATAATTTTTCCCAGTGGTATTAAAATGGAATTAAAACTTCAATTTTAAGCAAACAAATACGTTGTATTTGAGAAAACTTAAGTTGACAACCATGATAGTAACGCATATTGATATATGTGCTTAATTTTTGTATGAATAGTGGTGATCAAAATCATTTAGAAATTAAATTTATAAAAGAAGAAATAGTATATATTTACTACCACTTTAAATATGAAAATAAAATCTTCCGGAAAATCCGGAAGCGTTGGCAGGTATGAGAAAGCCTCCACACGGGATTTTACAAATAGTCTGCGCAGATTATTTTAAAAGCAAACCAATCGCACTCATGAACCCAAATTCTATTTCAAAAGTTAGGCTGAGATGTGATATGACATGCCCTTGGAGCGGGCACTCCACTTCTTCGTCTGAGATGATGCCCGTAGGCGACTAGAGTACTGTGTTTATAGCAATATAACAATAGAAATAGCAGAAGCACTGGTTGACGAAAGTTTATACTTGTAGTCGTGCTTATAGAAATATTAGGTAATGAGAAGAGCTCCTGAGTCGGATCACATGAAGGTTACTTCCATTTCAGGGAGCTCTTATATGATGTGATTTCAAAAGTTCGTTCGATGCTGTAGAACTGGGCAACTGAGACCTAAATGGCCCTCCCATTCATCATGAAACATCCCAAATTGACATACATAGGAAAGTGGTTTCAAAAGTACTTGAGAGAAATGCATCATATATATTTGAGAATTGAATCTGTGGTGGTTGACAAGTAAATAAGGCAAACCAATCATATTAAAAAATTAAACAATTTTTTAGACATATATTTGCTACCACTTTCTTGTTTTTACTAGATTTTCTATTAAACGGCTCTTTCGTAAACTGGTTTACCTTCATAGTGGTCAGATCGGACTACTTATAAGAAAATGTGTAGAGCCTTTCAGTTATAGGAGGCGTTGGTTAATTTCTAACCACTTTTCTATTTTTAATAGGGCACTAAGACCACTATAGTTGTACGAAATAAAATACTTATATTTTGTACCATCAGATTAATTAAGAGCATTGTTTAAGATACATCAGAAAAAAAATTTCCCATTTGGTTTGGTGCAATTCCTATTTCCTTTCATTTTTAAGCAGAACTGACTATTATATCGTAAACTATAACCGAACAATTCTGCCTAAACCAGAGAAACAAGCAGTTCATTTTATATTCAATGGAGGAAATTTTAATCCCTTCTGATAAGAAATGAAATAAAAACAATCTAAATCCCTTTCATAAAAGCTTTAAGTATAGTTTTTCCTTAATGACTTTTTCCCCCTGAAGGTACAATAATCACTCAAAATATACTTTTAACGATGTGCAAAAAACCAGTGACATATGTAATAAAAAAATTGGTTAAATATGATTGAATTGTCGGCGGGAACTTTTTGTATGTTTGTTTAATCATTAAAATTAATGTACAATTCAAAGATGAAAAAACTTAATGAACAGTTTTAATGGCCTTAATTTTATTGAAGTAATAGTTCATTAAAATAAAACTAAATGTCATAAAATATGGCTCTTAATTTAATATCATTTGTGATTCCCATTAGAGAATCGTTTTAATTTGTCGTGACAATTGTCTGATTTTTATTTGCGCCATTTTTTTATTCCATTTTAATCCTTATTTGCTTAGTTCCGATTAAAAAGGAACGTTTGATATTTATTTGTGTTTTATTTTAATGCATTTTTTAAAAATTTTTTTGATTGCGGATTAACCTTTTCATTAGCGATAAATCTTTGATACATTGTATTTCTTATTTTAAAGTTATTAATTTAATTAGCATTTGTACGAATAATTGGGCCGAATGGAATGCATTTTTTTCTTTAAAAAAATATAAGCCATATGATTGGATGATAACATGTTAATTTCAAAAAAGAAAGAGTAATTTCTGAGCTTCAACACTGAAAAAAGATTTATCTTTTAAAATTGAAATAAGGTCAGAATTTTTGGTAATGGTAGGTATCCTGCACTTTTCTTAAAATATTAATCTGTGGTAGAGTTTACGTTAAACGTCATCTTTAGATAAAGGGTTTGATTGCCATACCCTCCAACAATTTAATTTAGACAAATCACACTTTTCACTTTTGTAAAATAAAACAGGAATTTTTAACACAGCTACAGGGCTCCTAAACGCTCTCATACAGGGTTTCCGAGGTACTTGAATTTTTTAAAAAGTGGTAACGAAAATAAAACAAATGTCGATATTTTAATTTTTGTATAACCACCACTAAAAATTATTTTCCAAAGAAAGTATATATGTATGAAAATTCCATCACTTAAAAATTAACGATAAGGTGGTATATTGAATAACGTAATATCTTTTAGTGTTAACCTAAATTTGCTACCACTACTAAAACTTTACAAGGACCGCGAGAACCATGTCATAAAATATTCAGATGGTATTTAAACTCAGCATTACTAAAGGAAAGTTTTCTAATTAATCCCACTTCAATTTGGATAATTTTCCACCGATACCTACTTCTAAATAAGCATCTGCATCATTGGGGTGATTAACAAGTTGAGCGCCGCGTCAGCCATCGGTGGCTGACACTGGTCTTTCAATTTAGGCCGCGTAAACCACCGGTGGCTGACACTGGTCTTTCAATTTAGGCCACGTAAACCACCGGTGGCTGACACTGAAATTGCATTTAAGCCGCGTCAAGCACCGGTGGCAGACACTGTAATTACATTTAGGCAGCGTCAACCACCGGTGGCTGACACTGAAATTACATTTAGGTTGCGTCAACCACCGGTGGCTGACACTGAAATTACATTTAGGTTGCGTCAACCACCGATGGCTGACACTGACCCTTCACATAGGCCGAGAAAAACAGCTGGCTGATAGCGTATAACATGATATAGAACTATAAAATTTACACTCTTTTATGGAATTACGGAAAATTTATTCAAAATTTGCTTAATTATTGTGATTTTTGGTTTACTAAATTCAATTTAGTAGATTTTTATCCACCACTACATATTTTTCAACAATTCGTAGGCATATGTAATTCACCACTTTTTTTCAGATAGGTCATGCTAAGCCTTTTATAAACTAGCAAAATCTGTCTATATTTGCAAATTTAGTTTGTAGTTATTTACCGTGTGGCCAGACGAGCAAGCCATACAAAATTAGCGTGGCATTCTACGTGTTAAGAACAGTTGATGACGAATACTCGTATAAATGTAACTTCTTTTTTTTATTGTTAACTGAAAATCTACCATTTTTTAAAGTATATTGACAAAGCCGGAGCAGTTGGCATTTCTGTCTAGCGTGTATCGGACACTTCATATGCATGTTTAGATTATTATTCATATGTAATGGTGTATAAATGTCTTTTAATTAAATTTTTTTTTAAAAATATGTCACACACTTTTTCTACCTTTAGAAAAAATTTTCTATAATTACTAGGGGATTTTCGTAGAAGTTGAAGCATACGCTATATTTCCTTAAAATCTTTATATGCAAAATTTCACATTTCTTTGATTAATACTATATTTTTTTTCTAAAATACATCACTACAGTATTAAATAGATTTGTGAAAAAAAATTTTTTTAACGGTTTGTTTACCAATGATATTTACCTTTTTCGCATAATTCAGGGTTCACCACAGGAGATTAAATATACAAAAATGTGCCATGTTGAATGCCATGGGGTCACCGGTCACCGGTACTGAGTTTGATCGCAGCGCCACGGGGGTCACCGGTGACCAACGAAGCCAAGATTATAAGACACACATAATTCGAGTAAATTTTCTATTTTTTTATATTATTGTTACTAAAATGGTTTGAAGAAATTAATGCAATATAGAACACTCAAAAATAGTTTTATTTATATACACAGAGACTCCAACTTGCTCCGGACAGATAACTTTTTAAACCTAACTTTTGAGCCAGCTAAACTTCTTAAAAACTAGCAAAGTATATGTTTAATGTTTGCAAATTAGTTTGCAGTTATTTACCATTTGGCCAGACGGGCAGGTCATGTAAAATTAGCATGACATTTAACACGTTAAGAAAAATTATTTTCTACCATATTTGCTTTCAGTTTACTACTGAAAGTAACGTGTCATAGGATGTTTCAGCTTTAAATAAGAATAATTTGAAATTTAAGTTATACTGGTTGACAATTGAAAAAACAAAAATGAATAGAGTTTCTACCAATTTTTATATTCTTATTCGTCAATTGCATCCCTGCATAATTGTGCATTTTGTTTTATATAAAAGTGTCTTTGGGAAAAAAGTCTTCGATCACTAAAATCCAGGTCTGCCAACTACTACTCTTTTTGCAAAATCTTTTATGCAGTGTTGGACAATTAAAAACCAAAGCTTTCTGAATTTTCAGTAATTTTGCCAACATTTTGAAAGCCTCAACACGAAGAATCTAGAATGAAGTAGGGTTGCATATGAACTTTTAAATAATTAATATGTAGTGGTTGGGAACCACTAGAATACATTTTTACAAAAAGTGTAGAAAGTTGACAGTCCTGCTTAAACCGGATCCATAATTTCTAGCTTTAGCTACCACTATAACTATTATGCGTCTACACAATTTCAAGGGAGAGCAAAGATATTTTTTAACATAATTGTCACACTGCTATAAAGTAAGACGTCAAAAATACAAATGAACATTTTGAGAAAATAATATAATTTATTAACAGAAAACTAAAGCAGTTAAACATGATCTAGTTCTGATACCCCCAGAACTCTTCTACATTAGTTAGAGCCATTTTGATTTCGCTGATTTCCAGCTTGTGATTGTTGATTTCGTTGGCTGTTGTTTATGTTTCCTGATCCATAATTGGTGTTAGAAGCTCTTTGACCGCTACTTTGTGGCTGACTTCCTCCTTGATTAGCTAAAATGGAAAGAAGATCAAATAATTCACAAATGTCTTGCGTTTAAATAAAAATGTAATATAAACTAATATATTGTTAATAATTGAAAGAGCATTACAATTTAATCTATTAAAACTAGTCATCTTTAACACATTAGGTGTCATTGTAATCGTTAGAGGCTTGGTGGATTCTTGTGTATTTTTTTTTTATACTGAGCACATTCCAAAAATTACATGTGCTTGTCTACCACAATATTCTATTTGAGTAATTATTACTCTGCCAGCTCGAATCATCTGTTTGATATAGTTTCAAAATAATGGTAGAAGGGAATACTAGAGCATTTCCACTTTGTTGTTGTTTCAAACGCCACTTGCCAATATCAGCAAACCTGCTTGATAAAACCAAGAGAATTCAAGGCAGAGGGAGCGCTTCTTGTTTTTCAGTGGTGAGAGTTATAGCCAATAATACGTCTTTAGTCACACACACACGTCACAGAGCGGTTTAGAGGGCGGACCCATCCATACATCCATTTATTCATCCACAGATCATAGTTTTAATCTGAACCAAGGAATGATCCATCCAATTCAGTATTCCAAGAAGTATTGATTTGCTATGGGAACTTGAAGGACTTTGTGATCATACATATTTACCATGCACCAGTCACCATTAACTACACAGAGAGTCTTCTTCATTTCCATTTAGATTTGAGATCAAATGTCTTACAACTTTTTGTATGGAGGTAGTTCTTGTGAAACTGTTATAGGCATTACATATTTTCCAGCTCTTGAAATTCCTTAAATTTCATACATTTAATTTTTTAATCATTCTTTATTAAATTTTAAATAATTTAAATCACTATTTTAATATTTATTACATTTTATAAAAGCAAATGAAAATATTTTATTCTCTTTTTAACGATCAATGTAACGGCTAACTTTCTTTAATTCAAAACAGATATATAACTCATTAATTCACTGTCACGACAAAATCGAACATTAAGATCCATTTTTAACGTTTTATTCCTTAATTTAATTTATTTTCTAACCAAAAAAAGTTTTCATTTACAAGGTCATATTAATTCTCACGAAGTTTTTGGTGACTAAGCAGTAGCTAAATTAGTTAAAATTTAATATTAATGACAAGGGGTTGGCTACTTTTTTGACTTTTTCATCTATAGATAAATCACCAACTATAGATCACTTCCCATGCTCGTAAGTGTCCATTAGAAATAATCACTTCTTATTTTAAATTCTTGGTCTTAGAACTGGGGGTTTTGCCCCTCAATTCGACCATTAATAAATTTAAAAATATTTCATCTCGTTTAAAAGCATCTCAGTTTAGTTTTTAATAGTTTACTTCCTTTAAATATTTTTAAAAAATGCGTTGTAGCTGGCAGCCCTGTTTGCATAATTTGAGTCAAGCTACCTCTATTAAAAATATGGTGAGCTAGAATTTCCGACTCGGCAGCTCTGCTATAGATATAACATTTTAAAATCAAAGGGACAGATAAAAAAAGTTTTATCAAAAATTCTCAAATCTAAATCATTTCAATGAACCAAATAAAAATTTTCAAATTATAAATCATCTATCAAAAATGTTCGATTAATTTATAATTCCTTCATATTTTTTCCTTTTTTTTTGGGGGGGGGGTATCACTAACAAACAGTAATAAAGTATTCTTCATCTATATCCTAAAATATTATAATTTTAACACCGTTTCTCTGAAAAAAATAATGAAGAAAAATTGTTTTTAACTACATGAAAATTATAGTATTACAATTTAAAATTGAAATATTTTGATGCTTACCTTGGTTTCTGCCACCCCTATATCCTCCATACCCACCAGCTAAAAGTAAATGTTTATACATAAATTAAATTTCTTCTTAAGTTAGAACATAATAAATTCGGTAAAATGGTACGAATAAAAGATATACTGGAGTTGCACATAAATATGGAAACGCTTCTGCACTTTTTGTAAGAAAAAATCATTCTTTTAGCTACAAATGTTTTCGAAGATTTTACATGGCAAAACTGTTGGCACAGTTTAAAAGATCATTATCACTTTAAGAAATGGCGTTGTTTTCATTCATGCAAAATTCGCCTTGACCAAAATAAATAAAGGAAGTTAAAAATTTCTTTTCTTTTTCAATATTACTATAATAAAAAAGCACTCTAATATAAATATTACTATCTAATAGAATAATTGTAATATAAATATCAGGTCTACTGGAAGGAAAGATATACACGTAAAAGTACACTCCTCATTTTACAGTACTGTAAAATGTACCTCTTACAAAAGGAAGTGGTAGGTACTTATTATTTAACCAGGGCTTGCAGTGTCCTTAAAAAATTTTAAAAGTGATATTTCAAAATAAAAAGTATTTTTATAATTTGTGTCCCCCACTACGCTTAATTTTTCCAAGTTAACAAGCTAGTAACAAAATGGTAGTTTTGTATGTATCTCCAAAATAATTACTTTATTGTTAAAAATTATGCCCTACCTTGGTTCCTGTAGCCTCCATATCCACCATCTGTAAATAAGTGAATCGTTAAAAATATATAATATGCAAATATATATAATATATANTTTTACGACCTTCAAAATAATATTAAAATACCGAAACTTCAGGGCTTTTATAAAATGACAACTAACGTAACACAATTGACCTGGTAAATTTAAATTGGTGATTACAGGTTATAGGAACCATGACGGAAAGTTTCTTATGCCATCATATAGGATATATATATATATACATATGAGAATCTGATCGTTGAAGAATGCTCTATATTACAGATTTAAAATGGTCGCATGAATATTTCACGCCACTAGAAAGTTTCTATTTCTCTGAATGTTAAGACTTTTGTAACCACTTCTAAGTAAGCACTTAACCTCCGAGTGGTAATAATGCAAACAGTGAGTTCTGCAACTGTGCAAACTGTAAAAAAGAACCTCAAGTGCAGCAGGTAAAGTTATTCCCCCTCTTTCTTTATCTTTATAAAAAATATGAATATGATTATTATTCCTAACAAACATATAACTATGACATTTATCTCTAAATTTGCATTTTTTACCACGGTTTTATTTCGAGGAAAAGCTTTTGTTTTAAGATTTCATTTTAATTTTATTTCCACTGTCTAAGATTCCGTAACGTAGACATAAGAATCTCAAAAATTTTTCTTAAGAGTTCAGTTAACTACCACTTCAAAAAAATACAAATTTCTATTTCACAATATCTGATTCGAAAGTTTATTACATAATATCGCACTGTCGAATAAGTTAAAGCCCCTCACGGGGCTGGGACTTAGACTTCTACTGTACATAGGCAATAAGTTTAACATTCCCTTTTGTCTCAATCGAACAAGGGACATCTCGGGTTAAAGAGTTAAGTATCCTCTTCGCAAACAAGTGCTTTGTACGACCTTATATCAAGTCAAGTGATTCAGAAGTGTAATTAAATTTTACAAATTAGTTAGGTCAAATATTAATGATAATCTTCGAATTTGAAATAAAGGTCATGACAAATTCCGCTACCGGTACTCTGCACATAGAAGGAAGAAAATAAATTATTTTGTGGTGATCAATTCTTTCTAAGCAAACTTTATCACCAAATGATTTTTTTCAGTAACTGTATTATCATTTTTTTTAAAAAGATTCCATCATATTTCTACTTTGAGGTTTTTTTTTTATTTTTTTTTTTTGGAAACAAAATAATATACTTCTTCATTTCTTTTTGAAGAATATATCAAATTTTGATTTTAAAATCAAATGCTGTTATCATCTAGATCTGATTACTGATCCTAAAGCTCACGATCTTTAAACTTTGTATAATTTCTCTTCGTTATATATATTTTTTCATGAAATTTTCTAAAAATATTATTCAGGGCAAAATCACATCTTTTAATTCTAAAATACAAAAATAAATTTGCGTGTAATGTGGACACTTTCAAATATATAGCTGCCAACTTAAACATTCGCCGATACAGCCATTGTATCCATGCATGTAACTCAATTTAGGAATTTAAAGAAAAGAACTATATACCCAGAATGACTAATGAGTAACGAAAATCTTGTATATATGATCTAGTTGTCAGTGATGCTTTCCACCACTTGCCTGTGACGCCCGAATTCATTTCGGGTAACGCAAATGCGCCAATTTTGAAATGTTCGACCTGAGTCCGTGCAAGAGAAAAATCGGTGCTTCAACTCAGTGAATCCTGAACTAGTAAAGGAAAATTTAAGTATTTTTGTAATTGAAATTGATATAAAAATAGTAATTCATATAAGAAAAAAAACTCACTTGGCTTATAAAAATTAATCTAAATTTTAATGTCATTTTTTTGGTGGAAAATATATTTACTACGACCTATTAGGTACTTATTGACTTTCATTTTTCTTTATTTATAAAATAAATTTTATAAATGCTACAAACTTCAAACGGAATTATGTATTTTATAACTTTTATACGTTTTCTTAAACTGACAAATGGTTACCAATTTTATTCAAACGCACTTCAAGAAAGCTGAAGTTATCAACAAATGGAAATCTAAATTAAAAGTGGTAAAAAAGTTCCCCAAGGACTTAAAAAATTGGTGGTAAGTATGCTTACCACGGCCTTAGAATGAATTAATATGTAATTTATGATTTTCTCAATAGATGGCAATACTTGTTTTTAAATTTTCCCATGAAAAGTTCCGCAGTTTCGGGATTTTTGCAGCTTCGCAGTTTAAATGAATCATCATGGAATTCATGACAGTTGGTACAAATAATAATATTGTTGTTTTAGTTAATAATATGTTATCTTGAAAATTATGCCATTTGATTCATTTCGCTATAATATGAGCAAAAAGTACTGCAATTTATTAACATTTCCCATGTATGCGAAAATATTGAATATAGTAGTTTTTTCGTTTGACATTTTGTTTTGCTTACTTTTTTTTCAAATAATTTATTTCTAATATCTTGATGATAATAACAATCAGAAGTAAAGTGAAAAAAAAACTTTTTTTTTTCGTTTTTAACACGGTTTTCTTCAAATATATTCTACAGGTAAGGGGTTAAGTAGTGATGAAGTAGCTATATTTCTTGAAAATAATTCATAATTTGATATTTTTTTCCGTATCATTTTGGAAATTCTTTTCGATAAACCGTACAATTTTTTACAATAAACTGATACTGCTTTAATAGTCAAAGTTTCATCTATTCAAAAGTTCTTAGAGTTTAATTAAGTGTCACTTTTAATGTCTAATAAATGTTGAATATCTCATTTATAAATTAAAAAAGTTATGTGGTAGATATTCATAATTGTGATTATTTTTAAACTCAGAAAGTGCTTACTTTGATATCCGTTACCACCATTCCTTCCACCTGAAAAAAAAATTTTTTTTTTATTAATGTTATTAATAAAAGTGTTTACACGAGGACGAATCATACCACGCACATCATGAACACCACCTATAATTTATACTTTTAAAGCCCATATCAGAAATGTAGTAAGATAAAGTAGGCACAATACGTATCACAAAATAATATTTAACTCACTATCAAAATCTGCGAATTCTTAGCAAAGAATATACATAGGCGAAGAAGTCTAACTTTCATTGACATAATGTAAACTAGTCCTTCAAGATTAGTTTTGGTCCCTGTGCATCAACAACATTTAGGGGCACAACAGCAGTGATTCTAGAAACTGGTTTGCACCTTCCTCTCCTCTTAACCAATACTGGTAATGATGAAGAGTTTGGGTGAACAAGAAAAGTTTTCTCGATTTTCATCGCCTTGTTGTTCTGTATTTTTACACTACTGATAAACAGTACTGTACTTTAAAATAAGATTTTTCTTTGAGAATACATTTATATCATCCACGTTAATTAAATCTGCTAACACATTTGATATAGAAAGAAAGACTTAAATAGCAGTTGCCGGGACGCAGCGTTCCAAACCATGCATTTTTTTTGCCCAACAATCGGTTTACAGGTGACTTACCTCCTGATTGTCACTTTGCTTCTAATGCGCATGCGCTGGAACGCTTCAAATGACACTCTGATAAATCTGAGTATGTTGCTCACCCTGTAAGTAGTTTTTTTTTTTTTTTTTTTTTTTTTTTTTTTTTTTTTTTTTTTTTTTTTTTTTTTTNTTTTTAAACAGTCTGCGCGGACTACTTATAAAAGACCGTGTGGAGGCCTTTTGATGTAGGAGGTAATGGTTGGTTACGTATTTGAAGAGCTGGACTTCTTATCCTTTCTATATTCTTTGTTCGTAGTAAGGAAGATGGAATGAAAACATCAAACGATTTCTAATAATCACCGATCAACTCCTACCTAGAAATAACATACTGTTCCTTCTTTTATTTTTTTTAAGATAAGCTTTCAAAAATTTTAATTAGATTTCAGTTCCATTTTCGTCTCGTTTAATCGTTTCAACATGATACTCCATAACGTGCATACTCTTAAGAATTTCTTTTTGGTAAGGATTCTGAAAATATAACTTAAGGGAAGCTATTTCCAAACACCTTCCCTTTCTAAACACCAGATTTTGATACTGAAAAGAAATTCAAATAAAAATCAATATCTCTGGATTCGATGCAAATATGTAATTTTTATTTACTTTTATACTACTTCTACTAAAAAAAAAGAAATAAAATTGAATTGTTTGCACTAATCGACTTAAATCTTCTTCCTGTCTTTAAAAAAAAGGTCCTAGGAAAAAAATAGAAGTATTTTGAATTTTATCTAAGTAGAGCATGTACTAGAATGGTTTAAATGAAAGTTTTTGCACTTAGATATTTTCCTTGAAGCAAGAAAAATGTATTGCATTGACAAAATATTGCATGAAGATAATATTTTTTTCCCCTTTCTGCTCGAAATATGAAACATGAATGTTAAAATCGTTTCTTTTTATTTGATAACCACTCAAATATTTTTTATTGCATGTGTTACTCTGTGCTTAAAATAGAACCAATATTTGTTTCTCTTTTCAAAATACCAATTAATGCTAGACATGTCTTTTGATATAAATTTGTATTAAGCTTAAAAAATAAATAAATAAGATAATCTAAGAACTATTACTTTTCACGCATTTATATTTTAATTTATTTTTATATCTTGGATTGATTTGCATTTCAATAACTTTAATGAAGAATGCAAATTTTATTTACAAGAAATATTCAATTAAACATAAAAACACGAATAGAAAATTAAGAAATTTTTAACGCAAGTAATATAATTATTCAATAGAAGCTACACTTACCTCTGTATCCACCCTGGCCTGAAAAGTAATCAATGAAATTTTTTAAAACTAGGTGTAATAACATCATTTTAATGTAAGATTTATGCAAATTAAATACCCGATGTGATGGGAAAGTAAATAGCAAATTTTATGTGCATTAGTTTATTTTGAATATAACAAATATCCAGACACTTGGCGATAGCGCTATATTTAATTTACAGATGGAAAGTACAAATAACGCCAGATGGATATGGGTTAGTAAACAATAAGATCTTAAAAAGTAAAGTAAAAAATAAGATTTCACACGCAGTTGAAAAACTTAAAAAATTATATCACTGTTAATGCAAGAAAATGATAATATTATGTTTGTATCAAGTATAACTTCAGTTAAAAGAAATCTAGATCCTGAATTCGAGGATTTAAATTTTTAATCCAAAATGGAAGCTAATACCTATTACAGAATTTATTATAATCTGTAACAGAATTGATGCCACTTTTTAATTTATTCCAGATACACACGAAGCATTTTTAGCAAAATATTAAAATTAATTTTAAGTAACAAATCACATAAAATTTTTCAATATGTTCCAGAAAGATGCTTTACTTAAATCGATTCTACCAATAGCAAAAGATTCAATATTTGAGTCAATTGTTCATTTGTTTTTGTAGACCCCTCTAATTGTCAGTTGTATGAAATTTATTATCTGAGGTTATTTTTGCTCACTAAGTCAAATGCAATAAAAAAACATGTTTCTTCAGTTAAAGTGCGTTTTTGGACCGTGTTTCGCCATATCTTGATAAAGTTTTAAGCGAATTAAAAACATTTTGTGCAAAATTGTAAAGTTCATTTATTTAAAGCAATTCCATGAAACCGAATTCGCTCGAATTTTGCATTTCGCCATGTAAATTTACTTACTTTAAAATGACATAAAAAATTGTATCTTACAGTTCGAAATGATGTTGATTATTATTAAATAATATAATAAAAAATAATAAATATTTACAAGAATGTATTTTCGGCTAAGCGAATTTTATAATTGTGTGCAAAAAGTTTTCAATTCTCTCAATAAGTCCTCGAGATAACTCGAAATACGCAAAAAGTAAAATTAACATTGGTTGTTAAATTAACATTGGGTACATGAATAGCTCTCCCAACCCAACTATGGGGACCACAGTTTCCAGATTGCGGCTACCCTCTATATTTTGGGACTCAGAAATTCGAATTCGGTTTAAAAAAAGCTATTTTTAGTCAGAGAAAGTACGTTTGTGTGCCTGATTTCGTAACTTATAACATCGCCTGCACTTACGAATTAGCATATTTGAGATCACCTACTCAAACCATTGAGAGTGAGTGAACGTGAAGATCTGATCATTAGATCAAAAGCTATTTTGGGTGGTCTGTTTTCTTTGTGCGTTCTGTACACATGCATAACTTTCATAAACAAAGTTGAATATAATTCTTACCTATACTGTTATCCCTACGCTGAGCTGTAACAAGAAAAATTAATTTAAGTATGATCACATCTTATCACATACATAACCACTATATACATAAACACAATAATAATAAACAAACTACTGACATGTTTTTCTTATACACATTATTTAGTTATAAGACGAAATTTTTAACATGAAAAAATGCTAACCCTTTAAAATTTAAATTACGATAGTATACATTGAATAAATTTTATTACATTATAATGCAATTATACATTTATATTCATTATTTATCATTATAACACATTTTATTTGAAATATGCTTTATTATAAGAATAATCATTAAGGTAAAACGTCTTCTGTCTTAACCATTTAACCAGTTACAATGTTGACAAGAGTGTAAATTGTTTGAGACAGAATAAAAGAAGAATAATACGCAGTATTAATCACGACAAAACCTGCTTTAGTTGCAAAGAGGATAATACGATCAGGGCTGAGAGTCTGACAAAAAAAGAGATAAAAACTGATGGAAACAAATCATGTAGTTTAGATCTGATTATCATTATGAGTAAAATTAGCTTTTACTAATCAAAACTATAAAGTATACATCATTGCGTTTATTTTTCTCAGGTAAAAAGAAAACAATTTTATATATATGTTTTCCAAGTAAAAAGAAAACAATTTTATATATATGTCTTCCAAGTAAAAAGAAAACAATTTTATATATATGTTTTAACTGGTGAATAAATTTTTCACAATGATTGATATATTAATCTTTCCGAAAACAAACTACAATGAAATAATTTCCTAACACGTTTTTGCTCCTTTCCGTCTTAATATACATAAACTTTTTATCCTGAATGCTGTGATATCGGAGAGCAAAATGCAACTATTGCAAGTAAAATTACACTTTAATAGGCTATTTGTTTCTAGTAAGGGTAAGTAAAAATATTTTTGGAATTGATATTTAAAATATTTTGAATATGAAAAAAAAACATTTATTTTATTAGATAAAAAAAAATTTAACGTCATTTTTAATGGTGATTTCGTAAGTTTACCGCCACCCATGAGTTTTTATAAAGAAGTACGAAACTTAATTACAACTTTTACTTCGTTTAATTATAAAATAAATTTTACAAAACCAAAAAAACGGAAAAGCCTAAAACAATTAAATTTAAACCAATAATTTTATTCTATGTGGAAATGAATATCAGCTTATTCAAGTTAAGAGATTTTCAAAAAAAAAATCAATTATGATGAGTCTGCTGTTAAATCCGTTCGATTAGTATCAGAAAAAATAAACTTACCATTACAAAATAGGCTGAGAGCAGCAATGATGAAAATCATAAAGCAAACTCTAAATACAGAATTCATTTTGATTTTGAAAGAATTAAGTAATTCAGAATATAATTCAAAATCTTGCTTCGCTGTTGTTACTTTAACACTCGAAGATTGCCTTTATATTTGTATGTTAGCAAATAGGCTCATGTATTTTTAAATAAAATTAAGAAACTATCTATTACCTAATTTTACATTCTGTTTGCAATCATACAGCTGATCGCAATCTCATCAATTTTCAGCAATTGTTAAAGCAGACGTTGCAATCTGAACCATGGCTGAAAGCCCTTATATAGCAAGACGGAAAAGAGAAAAAACTGGTAAGTTAGACATTTCATTCCAGCATTCTTTTCGAAAAAAATAAAATATCTGCAACTATCAAGATTTCATTTATAATTTTAGCTTATATATAAAACTGCTTCTTTTCCGAGAGAAAGTGGATATTGCTGAATAGTTTAAAAAAAGAATAAGTAAACTCCTCCCAAAAACTAGCCATAACCGAAAAGGTTTTACTACCAGCCTTTCCTCTTTTCCGTCTCGCTTTCACCCCTGATCTGAATTCTTCACGATTGTGAGAGATAAAACCAAAAAAGCTTGAAAATAATTAATCTTAATCCAAGAATTATACTCTACTCGAAAATGAATATCAGCATGTCAAAAATAGAGGATTTAAAAAAAATATTCAATTACGACGAGTCTACTGTTAAATGCATCTTAAATAAAAAATTATAATTCCTGCGTTCAACTAGTATCAGAAATATTACGCTTCTTGAGTTCGATTAGTATTAGAAAAAATCAACTTACCATTACAAGCTATGCTGAGAACAGCAATGACGAAAATCATAAAGCAAACTCTAAATACGGAATTCATTTTGAGGTTGAAGGAATTAAGTGGTTCAGAATATAATTCTAAATTCTGCTTCTGGGTTGCTACTTTTATACTCGCAGAAAGTTTATGTTCGCAAATAGTCTGTTCAACTTTTAAATAAAATTATGAAACTACCTATTTCTTAAGTTTACATACATACAGCTGATCGTAATTTCATCAATTTTTACAATTCGTTAAACCACTTACTGGAATCTGATTTCTTCATAATTGCTCGGGAACATTTTACAAAATTCATTTTATATCCATTCGTGTAATATATTTAAATGAGTTATTTGTTCTACGTGTTCTATGTATCAATGTCACAATTTCATAGAATTTTAGTTAAGTATTGAACAGAAAAAACTTATTTCTTTCAATAAATTCCTCATACAATATTTATAAAAATAAATCTAGTTTGTTACCACAGCCCAAAATGTTTGGTAAATAATTGACAGTTAATAAACGACCTATTATGCACTTTTTGTGAAAAGAAGCAGAGACATAACTATATTGCGAATGCTTAAAAATTGGTAACCATATTGCTCTAAATTAAATTGAAGTTTCTTAGATAAAAATATTTCCTTCGAAACTCAAATTTTGTTTGACTATCCTAAATCATTAAGTAATTCAAGAATCCTAATCCTGAAATGATAGTGATCTTAATATTATGTTCACTTTGTAATTTTTTAGACATGTGTACGTGCTCAGAGTAAACTTTAATAAGTACCACTAACTGCTAACCATTCAAGTATTTTCGGAGTGCCTATCATAGGCGGATATCTGCTCCTTCATCGAGTTTAGGTAAAAGGAAGGGAAGGAAGGTGCTGTACTTAACATTTGTTAAGTCGCATATAAATGCAATTGGGAAATCAAATCTGGGTTAAATATAATATAAGTCGCAAATAGTACATAAGATAATAAAAACAACAAGATATTTACAGAATTTACAAATGGGGAGGACTCCCTCTGCACTCCCTCGCCTCCCCCCGGTAGCCGGTCTTCAAATAAATACCATTTATTCAAATGTAAATGTATAGATATCAATTGTTAACAAGTATTGGTAGACGCCATTACTATTACTGATTTTGTCACGTCGTGTAAGTACGACAGAGAAGGTGGGGTAATACCATGGCTGAAAGCCCTTATAAAGCGAGACGGAAAAGATGAAAAACTGGTACGAAATACATTTTATTGTAGCATTTTTCTCGAGAAAAATAAAATATCTGAGACTATCAAGATTTCTTTAAGATTTTAACATACGAAAACTGAAAACTCTTTTCCAAGATCAAATAGATATTGTAGAATAGTTTAAAAAAAGAAAAAGTAAACTCCTCCCGAAAACTAACTATAACTGAAATGGTTTTAATACCTGCCTTTTCTCTTTTCCGTCTTGTGTTCACCCCTGGTTAATAACAACGCCTCCTATAACTGAAAACCTCCACACATTTTTTTTATAGGTAGTCCGATCTGACCACTATGAAGGTAATCCAGTTTACGAAAGAGCCATTAAATAAAAAAAATCTAGTAAAAATAAGAAAGTGGTAGTAAATATATGTCTAAAAATTTGTTTAGTTTGTGAATATTATTGGTTTGTCTTACTTACTTGTAAACCTCTTCAGATTCAATTCTCAAATTTATATGATAAATTTCTCTCTATTACTTATACATACCTGCCAACTTTTTCGCATTTGGAGTAAAATTTTATTTCTGTACTTAAAGTGATAGTAAAATGTATGCTTTCTATATATTCCTTGCATTTATAAACTTAATTTATAATATTTTTGATCAACCACTATTTTTTTAAAAAATTAACCATATCTATTAATATGTAATGCTTTTGAGATAGTCCGCACAAGCCTGCTCAAAATACAGCGTATGTTTCTGCCTAAAATTGTAATTTAAATTCCATTTTACTACCAATCGGAAAAATCATCCTTGAAAGGATTAAATGTTGGCAGGTATGCTTATAAAATTCCCTTCCGGCCAAATGTATCACTTGTCAAGGTGATCACCCGACCTGTTTTACGGGCTGTGGCATCACCTCCTACATCAAGAAGCCTCCACACGGTGTTTTATAAGTAGTCCGCGTAGTCTGCTTAAAAAGTGAACCAGTTGTGCGCATGAACCCAAAACTTTTTATAAAAGTAATTGAGAGAAATTTATCTTATATATTTGAGGATTGAATCTGTAGTGGTGGACAAGTGAATAAGGCAAGCCAATAATATTCATAAATAAAAAAAAAATTTTATCATATATTTGCTAAAAATTTCTTATTATAATTATGTTCTGTATTAAATGAATCGTTCGGTAAGTGGATATCCTTCATAGTGGTCTGATCGGACTACCTATAAAATACCGTGTGGAGGTTTTCACTTATAAGAAGCGTTGGCTGCGGTACTCAGCCAAAGTGAAATCATCGTACCTTCACGAGTAGACCACAAGATGCCCCCAACAATGCAGTGAAGTTCCTAAGGATCTTCAAAGAACTTCGGGAACTTTAGAAAGAAAGTCGTCTATTTACTCATCTCCCTGCTCCCAGCCCAAAAGACGTGGATGAGGAGCCTCACCATCATGCTTGCTACATCTCACATGATGCTTTTCTTTATTTTATCTCTTTTTAGGTTCTTCTGAACCACCACTACAACTTTACTATATGTGTCCATCACCTCCTACATCAAAAAGCCTCCACACGATTTTTTATTAGTAGTCCGCGCAGACTATTTAAAAAGTGAACCTCTAGTGCGAATGAACCCAAAACCTTTTATATAAGTAATTGAGAGAAATTTATTATATATATTTGAGAATTGAATATGTAGTGGTTGACAAGTGAATAAGGCAAACCAATAATATTCATAAATAAAACAAATTTTTAATCATATATTTGCTACCACTTTCTTATTTTAACTAGATTTTGCATTAAATGACTCGTTTGGAAAGTGGATATCCTTCACAGTGGTCTGATCGGACTACCCACAAAAAACCGTGTGGAGGCTTTCAGTTATAGGCGGCGTTGATATGTCCCTTTGGGACGCTTCAAGATGAATGGGATGATGGTCATTTAGGCCTCAGATGCCCAGTTCTACTACAACGAACGCACGAATACTTATAGATAGAATTTGAGTTCATGTGCACAACTGATTCACTTTTTAAATAGTCTGCGCAGACTACTTATAAAATACCGTGTGGAAGCTTCCTGATGTAGGTGATGGTAATGCCGGGTAACTAAGATTGGAAGGCCTGTTGAAGCTTATTAGTACGACCTAGAGACTGCGTGATTTAACCAAGATATCCATTGTTTAGTTGTAAACAATTTATTATCCTCGAAAAGTCATAGCTACACTGCATTTTTTATAAATGGTTTTTGCTAGAAAAAGTCAAATTATCCGGTTTACATTTAACTCAATAAGAAATTTATAAGTACTAGAATGTCAGTGAAGAAGGCGATAACATTTCTGTGTTATATGACAATTAAAGAAAATTATGCATGTAGTTTACATGTGTTGTTATCAAGGCCGTACTCAAGGGAGGGAATTGGAAAGAGTTGTCCCAGGGTCCGGCATGCAGCCCTGACCAAAGTTATGAAAATCATTTAATGTCAAGAAGCAAGTAGTTTAATTTCTGGTGGTTTCTAATATTTTTGATATAAGTTTTCCCAGGCTAGGCAAACGGCATCGAAAAAGATTAAAGAGTTAAAAGTTTAAAAATACAAAAGTGTAGCAGTTTTTTTTAATGTTAACATCCAACACATTCTCATTTGAAAAAATAATTGTGTCACTCGGAGAGATTAAATTTTATGCATGCTTCTCGCCACGTGATTATAGAAAACGTTTTATGAAGAATATACTTAAATTAATCATTCTCAATTTAAAGCAAAAAAGTATCGTGAATAAAGCTCAAATATCAGTACAGAAATGGAAATACTATAGTTTCGGTTCTATAAGCAAGAACCTTCCTCAGTGTTTATAGTGTGATACTTATAGTGTGTTAGTTATAGTGTGACAATAAGGGCATCAAAATTTTCGATGTTCACGAATATTTTCTGATATTTTATACATTTTTAAACAATTCTGGAGGTGTAAAAATAGTGTGCCCATTATTTTTTATAACATTTTTTAATTATTAAAAGTTAAAGGTTTTAGAGATCTGCCCATATCTGCAATTTCATTTTATATTTGTATTGGAAATAAAATTTGTGTTCCACTAGTTAATATTTAATTATTGGCCTTAACCCTTTGAAGATCAGGGAAATCAGCAGTTTTCGTTTCATTAATTAGCGCAGTATTACGTGCAAACAGTAGTCGAAAGTGGCAGCTGTTTTCCACCGCCGTTCTTCCGAAAATGTCACCCTTCTCTGGCGATGCCAACTGCTCCGTCTTCTGGAATTGTTATAATAAAGTGGCAACAAATTGCGTAGTAAATTTCGCTGGAGAAGGACAGTTACGCCCACTCTTTAATAGAGTAACCAGTAGATTGTTGCTTAAACGCTGCATTTTATATGTTACTTATAGTTTTTGATATTTAGTGGTGAAAAAATTACTTAAAAGGAAAAATACTAAACTGAAAGTAACTTGACTTTCGCTATTACTAGGAAATACTATTTTACAAAGCGGAGCAAGTTGGCATCTCTGGATGCGGTAGATAGCTCACCTCACGTGTTTTAAAAATTTCTTAAAATATTCGTAGTACATAAATAACAGTTCTTACGTACTTTTTGTTTTTAACCCTCTGACGGTTATCAACGAGTTCAGCTCGCAATCAAATCTTGCCTCATAATGCGCGCAAATGAGTTCCGCTCGGGAGCAAGATTTCGACCGTAATGGTTAGTAACGAGCACTACTCGCGTAGTGAAATTTTTCCCCATTGCGCGCTGACGAGCTGAGCTCGTTCGCCATTATTATTCTGCATTGACTATGTTAAAAACGAAAAGTACGTAAAAACTGTTATTTATGTACTACGAATACTTTAAGAAATTTTTAAAACGCGTGAGGCGAGCTATCTACC